TTTAAATTTTATTGAATGAAAGCAAAAATGTCGGAAATTGCATCAAAATTTAGAATAAGTTAAGACTTATTCGAATCGGTCACCTTTGGCACGAATTATGGCCTTCAAACGGCCAATGAAATCGTCACACGCTGCCCGAATGTTACTCTGCGGTATTTTGGCCCATTTCCGGCGAAGCGCTTAGTTGAGGTGATCGACACTTTGGTATTTTTTAGTGCCAACCTTGCTTTCCAAAATACTCCAGACACAATAGCCCAACGGATTGGTATCCGGAGATTTTGGTGGAAATGAAGCGAGGAACCTCATTTTGTAATCATTTTTGGGTGGCGGGTGCCGAGTGCGAAAGTAGTGAGTCCTGTTGGAATGTCCAAGGTCCGCGGCCAAAATGTTTGCCTTCCCAAGGCTTTAATACACCCTCCAGAATATTTTCGCCATAATATTCGGCATTTATTCTGATGCCACGGTCGATAAATACGAGCGGAGAGCGACCATCGGCTGTTATGGCGGTCCACACCATCGCCATGGCCGGCGCTTGAGTTCTGGTGGCCAACCGAAGGTGCACACTGTCAGCTAATCTCTTTGGCAAGTAAACACGATCATTTTGTTTGTTTACAAACTACTGGACGACGAATATTTTCTCATCGGAGAAAACCAAATTCAGCAGTTCACCACTTTCGACCAAGCGAAGCAACTCTTTAGCTCTTTTGAGTCTATTTTCATTCTTTTGCGCTGTAAGTTCTTGCACTTCATGGAATTTCAATGGCTTTACCTCGAGCTCATTTTTCATTATTTGCCGAATGGAATATTGCGATATGTTCAGCTTACGAGCCATTTTTCGGCCACTGCGACGTGAGTTTCGATCAAGTCGCATCTTTACTTTTCGAACCATTTCTGCTGATGTTGCTGTTCTGTTCTTCCGTCCACTTCCTTGACATCGGGCTACGCTACCAGAATCACGGTAACGAGCTATGGTACGAGACACAAAATATTTGTTCACATTTAAATGCTGGAGTGCTCTAACGATAGCCACTTGTGGCTTTCCAGTCAAATATAAAAAATCACACTATCACGCTTGAATTCCATCACGATTATTTTTTTTTTTTTTTTTTTTTGGAAAATTCTCACCAAAATGATTTTGTACGCTTGTAGACAGTATAATGAGCTATCACTGTCGGACGAGTGGCTTAGAAATGACAGCAGTCTGAAGTTGGTTGCAGTTTTTTCATCGCATCCTGTAAATGGGAGCTATAGCTGTATCTGAACCAAATCTGAATTATTTGCTTCTTGGCTGAATTCCATAGGATGGGCCAAAATTCTGTTCATTTGGATTGATATTGGCCATTTGGTGCATAATTAACTCGAATTTGGTTGAAGATTATATGGGAGCTATATCCTGAACCGATCTTGACAAAATTTAAGGCACTTATTATTGAGCTGTATCTGATATCTAGTACCAAATATCATTGTTGTGAAGTTCATATTACGCGTGTGAGGGACTTAAAACCTCAAAGTCGGATGAAACATATCTATGGGAGTTATAGCTATATCTGAACTGATTTTCACCAAATTTGAAGTAATTGTTTCTAGGATGAATACATACGGAATTGTCAAGATTTAGTTCATTTGGGCTGATATTAGCCATTTGGTGCCCAATAAACCTGTTATTGGATAAAGATGTATATGAAAGCTATATCCAAATCTTTTCCGATCCCGATACAATTTTACAGAGATATATCTGGACAGTATCTGATATCTGGTACCAAAGATCATTGTTGTGGTGTGCATATTACGTATGTGAGGGACTTAAAACCTCAAAATCGGAAGTGACATATATATGGCAGATATAGTTATATCTAAAGCGATTTTCACCAAATTTGATGTGCTTACTTTTAGACTAGATTCGGTCGGATGTGCCAAAACTCAGGGCATTTTGGGACTGGTATTAGCCATTTGATGAACAATTAACACTAAATCGGTTGAAGATATATATGTGAGCTATATCTAAATTGAAACCGTTGCTCACCAATTTCAATAGTGTTCGTCCCTTCGTTTCGAAATTTTATTGTTTCGAAAATTTTCATCTCAATCGGATAATAAATGCGACATGCATTTTGTTCACAAAAATATATGGATAGATGGATTGACATGCCTAAATCGACCCAGAAAGTGATTCTATGAAGATCGTCAATAGTAACGATGGGTGCACAAAGACATAATACCCTTATCACTATGTGGTGTAGGATAAAAAAAAAAAAAATAAACCCTTTTTCAATAGCCGAAAATGACAACATTTTTCTTAAAATAGTAGGAATTGGATTCTGAGATACTGATAGGGGGCCATAAATGGGTGAATCGAATTCAAACTTCCTAAAATGGATTTCGTCCAAATATAAATGTGATCTGAAGCCTTTATTTCTATATGCAACATTTAAGCCTGTCATATGATATAAGCCTTTTTTAGTCTAATGAAGGTATGAGAAGGCATTTTTCTCCTTTGTCCAAAAAGAAAATTCTGCCAAGGAAATATGGTTCAAACCATTTAATTAATGCACAGGTAATATAGAAGTATTTTTCATTTGGCATGTAGGCCCTTTAGAAAGCACAGATTTACGAATGAGTTTTATACCCTCTACACGCAGAGAAAAAATATTTTTCACTATGGTTGCAGAAACCATAACTATTGTTGCCACAACTTTTATATGTTTGTAGCAAACATGTGAATTGCATATTTGAAAATACTATGTTCCCTGCAACCATAATTTCCAAAATTTAAATCGAATTTTTGTAATATGATAAAAATAATTTACAATACCAATGGTCTTCACAATCATGTTGCTAATAAATTTACAATACATTTTGTAGAATTTTAAAATAATATTGTAAATTGTATGCGCTTGAGAGCTGAGCGTGTCAAAACATGTTAGTTTGATTGGAGAGTTCGAAGAAGTACTACGTGCGTAAATTTAAGAGTGATATAAAAGTGAACATTTAAAACTTTTACTTAATACAATAAATATTAAAGAGTCATAAAATAATGACACATGCTATCTATAAATACAATAAAATAAAGTGAGTTTATTTCGCGTTCGCTTACAACTATTTTGAATGTGACTTTTTCTGAAAAAGAAAAGTAAAAGTTCTATTTAATGGCAAAAAATTATTAAAAGTACATATATGTAACTAAGTCACTGTAATACAATTAGCTTCAAGGAAAAGTACATCATTGAAAATGTATAAAACACGTGTTTTCAGAAAATTCAAAACATGTGCACTTTTTAATATATATTTGTTTAGTTCGAAAATACATATTTTCAATTTTAACAATATATATTTTCAATTTTAACAATACATATTTTCAAATTTAACAATACATATTTTCAAACTTAACAATACATATTTTCAAATTTAACAATATATATTTTCAAACTAAGAATATATATTGTCCAATTTTAAAATATGTATTTTAAAAAATTACAATATCTTGTTTTGGATTGAAAATATGTATTGTTAAAGTTTACAATATTTTGTGTTGAGTGTTGTGATCCCGGAGCATTTGCATTAGCTTCTGCATTCACTGCCTCTCGCTAGTTTTTGTTTGGCATTCAGAGAAGACGGATCACAAAAAAAGAAAAAAAATGAATTCACGTAAATTGTTGAAAACAACATTCCAAAACAAAAAAGAAATAGTTTCAGTGGTTTTTGATGGAATTAATGACTACGATTTGTTTATAAATAAAGGTAAAAGATGTATAAAAAGTGTTAATATTGTGAAAGTTCTAATTAATCATGCAGTGACTAATAAAAAATATTAAGTGAAAAACTCTATAAACAATTTAAAGAATTATGTTAATTATTTGTTTTATACATCTCATATAAAAGTGCAATACTCAAAAAAAAGAACAGAAAAATGTTCAGTCGTACGCTTTAACACATTTCATGTTTTTGTTTGTTTATTTTGTGTGAATCATCTCATCATGAAAAGGTTGGGTGGTTGAACACACAAAACAAACAAAGCATAGAGAGAAGTAAAGAGATTATCGTTTTGGGGAAAATGTTTTTAGTGCAAAATTGAACGTGAATATTGGGAACATTGAAGGTTCATGGACATTGATGTGATTTTTAAAATTGACATATTATTTTATTATTAAATAATTTTTAATAAAATATTTAACCATCTTTATTTATTATAGTAAAGGAAACCTATAATATTCCATCAACTGAAGAAGTTCAAATTTTTAACAAGAAATTTTTAATAAAACCAAACATATTCACCGATTTGGTGGAACAGTATCTATCGTCAACGGATTTTATATTGGACGTAAATTTAATAAGTGAGTACCCACAAATTAAATATATTTAAAGTTGTGGTCACGTAATTAGAACATGAACTGTGGTAAGCATTTTTTGAAGTGTTTAAAAAAAAATAATAATTCTGAGCTCTTAGATATACTAAATTTTTTTTCATCTGTAAACTATTTTCAAAAAAAGCAGTAAAGTAAATATTTCCACGTTATTTTATAAAAACTTTTATTTATTAAAAATTGCATAAAATAATTTTCTATTTTCACACTAAACCTCTTAAGTGCAGTATATCTAAGTGTTCAGAATTATATTATTTTTAAAAAATACTTCTAAGAATGTTCACCACAGTTCATGTTCTAATTAGGTGACCACCACTGTATATGTATGTAAATATAATGTGTAATTTCTAAACTAATTTTCGTTGTAGATGATAATTCTTCTTATTCCACCTCAGACTCGAATGATGAATTGGAATCACAGGCTTCCAGTTCACAAAATATAATATTTGGAAGTACACAGCCTCAGGTTATTAGAACTTTAACATGTATAACCGATTATATTTTTAACCAAAGCCAGGGGAATATTTTTATTGACAAAAATGCTTATCCTTCTGTTCCATCAACGCAGGTATGTAAAAATGTTTCTTAATTTAAAATCTTTTCAGTCATTATTAACCCCTTTTTATTCCCGAAGGAAATAAAAGAATATCCTGAAATTAAGCAATTATTGCAATGTAATAGTCTGCAAAATAAGGATAGGATAAAGGATAACTATTATAGCAAAGAGTATAGTGTCAAATATCCTGAGCCAAAATGTGAATAGACGGTATGTAAATCCTAAACACTTAACAATTTGTTTATATTCAGAGATTCTTTTTCAATTTGCAGTTTATATAAAGATGATTTGTTACAACTTTCCCGATCAATAATAGAAGTATTTCCATCGGAAGTTAGAGAAATCTATTACGTACCCTTTACAAAAGGTCATTTGGCAAAGGGTAAATTGTTTGACGCATACAATAATAAGAGAACACAATTAAGTGCAGCAGGACTGATAAATAGACGTGAAAACGTGAAAAAGAAATGTGAGTATGCTTAAATATAAGAATATTTATATGTTTTGAAAAACAATACGTTCTTTTAGCAAATCATACGCAATTGTCGGAAGATCACGAAACTGGCATATCAGCAGATGAATTGAAAATTCTTGAAACAACGAATGTAGATTGGAAGAAAACAAGAGAACTTTGGATTAAATCTCATTCCTATCGACAAAACGAATTACAAAACAACGAGTTAAGTACTATTGACTATATACAAAAATACAACATTCATCTTAATGAGAACTTTCATGAATTGGTAAGTCTTTGAATTATTAATATTATGTAAATTTCGATTAATATTGTTCATATACTTCTTTCAATTGAATTTTCGTAATATTAATAATTGTATACTATATGTTAGATTTAAAATGTTAATTTATATTATTACCTGTAAAATTAAATAAAATTTGATTTATAAAACACTATCCAAGATGTTTTTAATAATAGGGTAAGTGTGCCTAAGTTCGGCATGTCCCAGTAGTCGGCACTTTTTATTTTTAAGCCCAAATAAATGAAACTATTATAACTAAATGTATTTTGTTTACTTCAAATATATTGCCAGCTATCTTTGTGTACAATTTCGCTAAGAAAAGATGATTTATTCAAATAAAAATTAAATTTTTGTCTGTGAAGGTCATCAACAATCCATATTCTTAAGAAAAGTACGATAAAGACGTCGAATCAGTTAAACTAAACAAAAATATTATATTTTAATGAATTAATTTATTATTATTATTAATTATTTTTACAAAAAATTTGGTTTGCCGACTGTGGGAACATGCCATACCGCCAATTGGCAAGTGGTGCCGACTACTGGCAAAAAAGCATTGTTTTAATAAAACTACAAATTTATGAAATTTAATAAAAATTTATTAAAACTTTATTTATTATTGCAAAAACTATACAAAATTTCGAATCTGAATAAATTAACTTTGTAATAATTGAAAAGTTCCACTCAGAATGGTGAGCGATTAAAAACGCGAAAATCCTAAAAGTGCCGACTACTGGTACACTTACCCTATACATAATATTAAAAAGGTAGAGTATAAGAAATGGTTGGGGCAAACATATATATTGTAACTTTTTAAAAATATATATTTTCAGGCCAAAAAAAGTTTAGTAAAATCTTACCAATCAAATTATTGGGGCAAACATATATATTGTAACTTTTTAAAAATATATATTTTCAGGCCAAAAAAAAGTTTGGTAAAGTCTTACCAATCAAATTATTGGGACAAACAAGTAAATGGTTGGGGAAAACATATATATTGTAACTTCTTAAAATATATATTTTCAGACCAAAAAAAGTTTAGTAAAATCTTATCAATCAAATGATGGGGACAAACATGTAAATGGTTGCCGAAAACATATATATTGTAACTTTTTAAAAATATATATTTTCAGGCCAAGAAAATATTTGATAAAATCTTACCAATCAAATGATTGGGACAAACATGTAAATCGTTACAGAAAACATATATATTGTACCTTTTTAAAATATATATTTTCAGGCTAAAAGAACGTTTTATAAAATCTTACCAATCAAATGATTGGGACAACCATGAAACTGGTTGGGGCAAACATTTATATATACAGTTTACATAGCCTAACCAAAAACATGTTTGCAGCGACAATATTACATAATAGAATCCAACCATATATTTACCATATATATTTTGCTCTTCGAATATTGTTGGCTGAACCATATTTTTTTCTCTGCGTGTACCAAACGTAGTATGGAGGGTATATTAAATTAATGTAACTCATCGAAATAATAATTTTAGACCCAACAAAGTATATATATTCTTGATCAGCGTAAAATTCTAAGACAATGTAGCGCTGGCCGTCCGTCCGTCTGTCCATTTGTTGTAATCACGCAACAGTCAAAAGGAATGAAGATATGAAAATATGAATGAATTTTGCACAGATCTGTCTTTTGTCTGCAAGCAGGTCAAGTTTGAAGATGGGCTACATCGGTCCACAGCCCCCATATAACGATACCCCCCATATTCGGTATTTTGATGATTTTAGCCACACATTTGAATGGAATTGTCTGAAATTCCACACAAGGAGTTCCTTGTGAGTACTTTACCCTCTGTAAGAGAATTGTCTATATAGGTCCACGATATCGTATATTCCTCATATGACAGAATTTTAAATGGATTTTTTTTTTTGGAAATTTCCTAATTCGTTCCAAATTGTACAAATGGTGCATATTCAAAACGCGGCTCGGCCGAACTTACTGCTTTTTTTGTTTTCTTTTAATATAAATGTTTTTAACATGCTTTCTTTATTAAATAGTAGAAGTGAAGCTATATACCAGGATTATTATTTCCTTCATCCTATCCAATTACTTTTATTATAGGGTAATACACATGTGACCCAACTTTTCTTCGATTATTTTGCATTTGCACTGTTTTAATTCAAAATTAATACATTAGACAACCTTACCGATGAAATAGAAATAAGTAAAAAAGCTGTAAGTTCAGCCAGGCCGAACTTTAAATACCCTCCACCATTTGGAACGAATTTGACAATTCTCAAAAAAAAATAAAATCCGTTAAAAATTCAGTTAAAATCTTCCGAATATAGCTGTTGTATTAGGGTCTATGCGACGACATGGACCTGCATAGGTAACATTTTTCATAAGCCATTATAATATTCAAATACGAAACTAAAAAAAATCGGTAATACTGCAGCTAAAATCATAAAAATACCGATTATCGGGAGGTACCGTTTTATGGGGGCTATATCAAACACCTGCACAAGTAATTTTCTGTCATAGACTGTAGTATCCATTACGAACTTCAAATACCAAATTTGAAACAATTCCGGTGAATAATGTTGCCAAAATCATCAAAGTACCGAATATCGGGAGGTACCGCTATATAGGGGCTATACGAAGACGTGAACCATCAAAGTACCGAATATTTGGAAGGTACAGTTATATGGGGGGTATACCAAAACATGGACCTACATCAATACCAAAAGTCCTGCAGATATAATATACATTTGAAATTTTATCAACCTACTTCATTTAGTTCGGAAGCTAGAGTGATTTCCTCAGACGAACAGACGGATATACGGACGGACATCGCTAAATCGACATAGAATTTTATGCTTATCAAGAATATATACACTTTGTGGGGTCTAAAATGTATATTTCGAGGTGTTACAAACGGAATGACAAACTTAATATATCCACCATACTAGGTGGAGGGTAAAAAAGTGCAAGAATTTACACCACAACAAAAAGAAAACATTCGTTGTCCAGCAGTTTATCGTGTTTACTTGCCAAAGGGGTCAGCCGAAAATGTGCACCTTCGGTTGACCACCAGAACTCAAGCGCCGGCCATAGTGATGGTGTGGGCCGCCATAACAGCCGATGGTCGCTCTCCGCTCGTATTAATCGACCGTGGCATCAGAATAAATGCCGAATATTATCGCGAAAATGTTCTGGAGGGTGTATTAAAGCTTTGGGCACGCAAACATTTTGGCCGCAGACCTTGGACATTCCAACAGGACTCAGCACCGTCGCAATCAGCACGCGCCACCCAAGAGGTTCCTCAAAAATGATGTTCCTCGCTTCATTTACAGCGCACAATGACCACCAAAATCTACGGATACCAATCCATTGGACTATTATGTCTGGATTATTTTGGAAAGCAAGGTTGGCACTAAAAAATACCAAAGAGTCGATCACCTCAAGCAACCGCTTCGCCGGGAATGGTACAAAATAACGAAGAGCAGCATTCGGGCAGCGTGTGACGGTTTCATTGGCCGTTTGGAGGCCATAATTCGTGCCAAAGTTGACCAAATCTAAACTTATTCTAAAAGTTGATGCTGTTTCCGACATTTTTTGCTTTCATTCAATAAAATTAAAAAAAAAAAAATGTAAAAATTATGGCATTTGACTTTGTTGCAGTTTTTTTTTTTTTTTTATCTCAACCTGTATATGTTTTCAAGTTTTTTTCTTTATTAAATAAGATAAGTGAGTGTTAGTGAAGATGTATGCCAGGATTATTATTTCCCTCGAACTTATCCAATGACTTTTACTATAGGGCAATATATATTTCATCCAACTTTTCTTCGATTAATTTTCATTTATTTTTTTTTTTTTTTAAATCGAAACCTATTGCATTAGACCACCTTTCCGAAAAGATAAGATACAAAAAAAATAGACATGCAACTAATTTATTGCACGATTTGATCATCTTGTCATCAAATAACGGTTATCAAGAGTAATTTAGTTGGACAAATTAATTTAGCGAATAAATTTACACATGGCTGTCGAACAGACCGACTTACTGACCAACTAAATGACTCCGGTTTTTGGGCGGTTTATTTGGTAGGCTTTGAATTTCACACTAAATTTTCCAGTTCGCATTAGTTTAAATTACAGTCTTTGTTGTTGTCATTGTTTTTTGTTGTTGTAAATTTCCAAGTGGTGGTGACAATTATTATTTTTTTTTTTTTTTGTAAAATGTCAAATTTAATAAAGTTATGGGGCGTTTATTTTGGGAGGTAAAGGGGTCTTAATCATCGTCAGCCGTAACACCATCGCCTTTGGCAATGTCGAAAGATGGATGAATTGTGTTCGGCTGGCCTGGTTGGGTGTTAACTGGTTGTGCTGACCAACACCACAGCTCTTGTTGTTTTTTTTTTTTTTTTTTTTTTTCTGAAGTATCCATAAATAAATATTACCCATAATGGGTGTCACATATTTAATACTTTGCTGTTGTTGTGGCTTGTTGTTTTTTTGATGTTGATAATGTTGTTTCTTTGTAATTTGGCTTTGGCGGTATTTTCCAATAATCGATAAATAACAGACAGTAACGAAGTAAATAAATTACAATAAATTTTAAAGTTTAAAAGGAGTCGGGTGTTGGTGTGGGGATGTGGGTGGTACGAGGGAATTTTTAATATTTATACAGGGTTATCCATTTGTGGTTTCAAAAGCCTAGAGCTATAATATAACCCTTTCATGACTCAACCGAGAGTTAATTTGCTCGGCTCGGAATTTTTTCCAGTAATATTGCCGGAGACACAATATACCAAGGGGACCAAGGGATTCCAAGGAATCTTAAATCAATTATTTAGAAAAAATTTAAAATGCAGGAACTTCTGGTGTATTTTGCCAGCAAATGGGCCATGTCGATCCACGTTTTTGTATAACCCCCATATAACGGTACGTCTCCATATTCGGCATTTTTATGATTTTAGTAACATTATTCATCGGACTTTTTTAAA